ATGGTGTATAATCTTCTTGATGTTTTTCTGTATTGCATTTTCTAGGATTTTAGCATCTATGTTGATGCGAGAGATTGGCCTATAGTTCTCTTTCAGTTGCCTCTCTCCCTGGTTTTGCTATTAGTACAATAATTGCCTCCAGGAATGATTTTGGGAGGATTGCTTCCTTTTCAATTTCATTGAAGAATTTGAGGAGTATAGGGATTATATCTTCTGTAAGTTTCTTGTAGAAATCAGCTGTGAATTCATCCAGATCTGGACTTTTCTTTGTTGATAGTTTTTTTTTTTTTTTCATTTTGTATTTCATTGGCTGTTATTGGGTTATTGAGAGTTATTGTATCTTCTTGATTCAATTTTGGTGATTTGTTCCTTTCTAGGCACCTGTCCATTTCTTCTGTGTCTTCTATTGTGTGCCAGAAAAGATTCTCAAAGTAGCTATTAAGAATCTTCTGAATTTCCACTGGGTCTAAAATTATGATCAGGACACATTATCAGCAAGGAGCAATCATACAATATCTGAAAAGATTTTCAGAACAATGTTTTTTTTCAGTTAGTAAAATTTCTATAGTCAGTAGGTGAGACAAGATCTCCCACAGATAATGGAAACTTTATTCAATGAAAGAAAGTCTATTCTAATAACAAGTACTGTAATGCATCTTTATATTTAGATTGATAAGGATGGATTCCATGTAGCTTTCAAAGGATGTTAACCTAAAATTTTTACTATTAAAGTAAGATAGGCCAAAGCTATTTTGATATTCATTTATCAATTTAACTGTTAGAGTAAATGTGCATCAAATATGATTAAGATATATAGAAAGAAAATAAATTATAAAGTAACAGTGAAGTATAAAACTGGGTCCAATACCAGAATCAATGTATGAAACATCAAGCAAATGTTACTTTTTAAAATTTCAACAATGATGAGTATGCAATGGAACACTTATCCTCATGTTTACATTGTTTTGGGCAAAGACTGAAAAACAATGCTGAACTAGAATGGATAAAAGTGCTATATTTGTGAAACACACTTTTTGTGATGTTTGTAAGGAAACAATGATGTAAGTATGATACTTTTTTGATAACTTATACATTAGCAACATATTACTGGGTACATTTTGGCTAAGTTTGACTTCTTAGGAAAAGAATACAGTTTGTTCCCTGTACTTTAATACAAACACATAGAAAAGGGCCAAGGAGATAGCTCAGTAGAATAAGCACTTGCCTGGCAAGTGTAAGGTCCTGAGTTCAATCCCTGGTACCATAAAAAAAATAAATAAATAAAAACAACAACAAAACCCAGAGAACAGAAAAGAACCAACACATATTTGCATTGAGTCATACATTTTCAAATAAAGAAGCTGGGCTGGGGAGATAGCTCAGCAGTCTAAGCCCCTGCCTGGTAAGGATAGGACCTTTGGTCCCTGGTATTGCATGCTATGCTAGCCCTTGGCCACTAAGACTGGGCATGGCCGTGTATACATTTAACCCCAGCACTGGTGATGCTGAGACAAGAGAATTGCTAAGAGTTTGAACTATGTAGCAGGACTCTCTGCCTAGTAAATAAATAAAAATCAAATAAAACAATGTAAAATAAGTAAGGAATCTGCAGAATTAAAACCTAAGTTTATTTGCTGGTAGCTTGTGTTATTTGTGTTTCTATCTCTTCTCTCCCTCCTGCTTCCTCCATTCCTTTCCTTTTTGAACTTAAATGTACTCCTTAGACTCCTTAGACATTTATTTTGAATTTATTCTTTGCTTATACAATGTAAGCATTTATCATTATGGGACTAAATTTTGCTATTGGTTCTGTTTCAAATTATTTTTCTGGAAGAAGGAAAATAGCATCTTCAAAATGGTTGGTTCTGTATACTGTTTTGGAACTAGAAAATTAATTGTATTACCCAAATTTGTTATGAGTGATGGTGGCAGGCTGCATAAGCTTCTGCTGCCTTACTTTTCCAGGGAATCTGGCAACTCATCTGAGTTGATGGAATTTCTTAATAACTTCCAATTATTTCAGCTGTGGTTACGGGCAATGCTTCACTTTGACCCTTGAAAAATGTCCACAACCGATATTTTCACTTGTCTCAGTTCAGGACAATGACCAAAAACTATCCTGAGAAAATGACTAGCTATTTCCAGTTAGTTACTTCAAGTTATGGCAGATTTTCCAATGAGAAAGTTGAAATGTGTTCATGTTTCATGTGCTACTTATTTATCACAGTGTATATGAACTATTTGACACTATCTTATGTGAATGCTGACATACTGTAAAAGTACAACTGTCAGGACTATATTTTCTTGAGTTTTAAACTATATGCAGCCAATAAACTAAGAATCTATTATCCTTGTTAACAAATGAAGTAACCAAGCATAGCTAAAATATAATTTTATAATTAATATGTTCCCCAGAACAAACGTTTTATAAGCTGACACTTTTTATATAGTAGGTACCATTGTTCAATTTTTTTAACACTTAATTGCTTTTTCTCATACTTTGATTATAGTGATGGCTATAGAAGTGCAGGTATACAGTACATCTGAACATACTTAATTATCTACAGTATGTAAGTGCAGATTAATATCAATTTTACTTCATTAAAGCTGTTTTCAAACTGTTTATCATACATATTAAAGAGAACACTGTTTCTACATAATAAAGATATGAACACTTTTTCAAATTATCTTGAATTTTGCAGAGAGGTCCAGAAAGTACATTTAATTGGTGTCAAAGAAGCTAATATATCACATCCAGGTCAATGTTTCTTGAAATAATTCTAATAGCAAACACAGAAAACCCAAGTTGTAGTGGCAAATTATCGATGATACTACAGCATTAACTCCAAATAATGAAGTCTCTAAAAAATATTAGGGCCTTAAAATATTTACATTTATATTAAAGTATTCTTGAAAATCTAATATAATCCCAGAATATCCAAGGAAAATGCAATTTAAATGATATGTTCTTAATGTTGCTCATCTCTGAAATTATAAGTGACTTAATGTTTCTCTTAAATTCTATTTCTTTATTAACACAATGAATGACCATTATTGAAATAGTATTAACAAAATGAGAAAATTGCACCAAACAATATATGTATTAGATACATTTTATCAAATTTCTGTAAATTAATTTTTCCTTTTTTAAATTTCTATTATAAAATACCACCATACATTGCTGTTATGAAAATACAAAAGTAACTATTTAATAATGTGCTTTTTGTTCTTTTTAACTAAGTTGTGAAAAACTTTTCTCTAACAAACAAAATTTAATTTGACAATTTTGATTTTAAAAAGCACATGTGAAGAAATGATATGCTTGCACTTGCCTTTTATGGTACTTTAATGATTGTAGCCAAAGAAAGTGAGTAGAAAACAATACAAGTATTAAAGAAAACCAATAACAAAACTTTTGACGTGCTAAGGTACAATTCATGTGGCTGCTGGCACTTCTCAGGTCATTTTCATGCTGGGCATTGCCAATGATAGGCAGAGAGTGAAAAGTAACACATCAGAAAAAAAATAATAAGTGCCCAGGGGCCAGAGGTTAGAGCCCCAGGAGTGCCTTGCTGGCTCCGCCTTGCCGGCCTGCCTCCTGGCACGCTGAGATGGCAATTGAGACTGGGTGTGGTGGTTCGCGCCTGTAATCCCAGCTCTTGGGAGGCTGTAAACAGGCAGATCACTATGAGTCTGATATAGTAGTGAGGCCTTGGACACCCTGTAGAACCTTCCCTAAAATACAGGGGAAAAGAAAGAAAGAAAGAAAGAAAGAAAGAAAGAAAGAAAGAAAGAAAGAAAGAAAGATAGATAGATAGATAGATAGATTTGGGCCAGCCAAATAGCTCAGCATATTAAAGCTCCTGCTTATGCAGACTGAGGAGCCTGGAGCTCATTCCCCATGTCTGCTATGCCGGCCCTGCCCCTGGGGAGCACTGAGCAGTGATTGAGACTGGGCTTGGTGGCATGCACCTGTAATCCCAGCACTTGGGAGGCTGTAAACAGGAGGATCAATATGAGTCTGATTTACGCAGTGAGATCCTGTACCCCCTGTACACTCTGCCCTAAATACAAAAAAAAGAAAGAAAGAAAAAAGAAATGATAAAGAAAAGAAAAGAAAAGAAAAATAACCAATAAAGTGGAAGATGTGATACATATTCAGAAAAGGTGATTAATGGTAAGTATAGGATTTTTCCGATATTGGAGTTAGCAAAGGAGAATTTTACAGTAGCTGTAAATTATAGACACTATTCTTGCAATTATAAAAAGAGAGCTGACAGAAAAATGAAAAGACAAAATAAACAAATGAATATCATAGAAGTAAAATATCATATTTAAAAATTTAAAATATTGCATAAGTTTGAAAGAATGAATCTGAACAAATAATAGAACTTAAAATAATTACAATTATAGATCTATAAACATTCAAAAAATGTTTATATAAAGCATTGACTTTGCTTTATTAAATATAGTTACTGCTTCTTCATTGACCTTTGTGTTAGTGTATTTTTCAGACTTACATAATCAGCAGTGTTTATCAGGTTCACTAATTTTGCTAATGCAAATATTATTTATTTTTATTAGTCATTTATTTTATGTATTATTTTTTATCTTTAAAATTGAAAAAAAAAAACCTAACTTCTTTTTTCCAAGGGAGAAAAATACAGGGAATTTTGGACCTTGAACTTGTAGAGGTCAGCAGTCGTTAGAAATTCTGTGGCCTGTGCACACTTGTGGTGGTTAACCGTGCAAGTCCATTACTGTTCAGGAAAGCACACTCCTAAACGTGACTGAATGGACAAGGAAGCTGTCAGCCTGGAGAGTCTATCCGATCCTGGGACCTATCTCTTTTTCTCTACCTTTTTCAACTACCTGACAGCCATGAAAAGATAAATTTGGTTTTCGACCATAATATTCTGGCCTTGGAGTCAACTAATCCAGGATTAGAGCTGCTGAAGCCATGAGCCAAGATAAACACTTTCTTCTTTAATTTGGAAGACTTAGGTATTTTCTCTCAAAAGCAAGTTTGACCAATACATACGTGTACATCCAGGTGTACATGCAAGCTTACAAATAACACACACAGCACCTAACCTATGAAAAATATTTATATACAAACACCTGTGAAATTTCAAGAAACTACCGTTAGACCATGAATATCTGTCTACATGTGGAAATCTTACTTGCTTTTCTCGATCATATGTAATCATTAAATTTCTATCTTGATTATGTATTAATATGATAATGTATTGAATGGCATATATTATTAAATTCATTTCCACCCTTTTAATTTTAAGGTTTTCAAACACAATTATTAGAAGTTTTAAATTTAACATGTGGCTTCTATTTGTAATTCAATGTATATTGTTTGAAAAGTGCTTTTCTTGAAGGTAAATCCAACCGCCTCTCTCAGTCCCCATATGAATTTCTGAACTGTGATACATTTTACAGGCTGTTCTTTATATATTATTAACAAATGACTTCAGCTAATTGTATGAATGCAAATGCTATGCAAGGCCAAGTATTTTTTCCTTGTTTACTGTACATTTATCCTAATATTCAGATAATTCTTAATGTCACTTTCTGGTAAAGTATTCATCTATCTCTATTTAAAGAATCTGACATATTTCAGTGTGTTGGAGTGCAGCTTGAAAGTACTGCTTTACATTATTTCAAAAATTGTGTTAATTAACAAATAAAATTATACATTTAAATTAGCTACCTTTTATTGTCATCCATTCCTCGAAGAAATCATCCCTCAGAAAGCAACACTCTGGCATATATCATTATCACCTTACCTATAACAGGTAGAAAAGTATTTGGTGTGAAGGAGGTGCTCCATAGATTCTTTACAAAGAATATGAGATATGAAATTATGCCAAGTTGAAAATGTTAAATATTTCCTTTATATGAACTCTTTCATGATCTTTTAATATGTAGACACTTTGGATATCACTAAAATTTTATTTCTATTTTTAATATGCCTTATTCTTATTACCTATTAATTAAATTCTCACACTATTCTCAAAAGTTAATCTTTATCCATGACAGAGTATCTGCTACCTCCGTTTTTGTTGAAGAAAAAGTAGCTATTGAGCAAATGTAAGATTTGTAAAAGCAACCTACAAAGCTCTTAGTTATTTATAATTTATTCATGTTTTGTATAGCAAAGATATTGTCAGTTTAGAATTTCCATTAGAAGACCAGCTTACATATTTGTTCATTTTTAGAGTGTCTTTTTGTCTTCCAAAAATTTGTTTTTCTACAAATGTTACAGTAATTTTATCACTTTAAATGCTATCAACTGGGGGCCAGGGAGATAGCCCAGTGGAATAAGTGCTTGCCTGACAAGTGCAAGGTCCTGAGTTTTAATCCCTGGCACCACCAAAAAA